AATCATATTCGAATATGCATCCAGTCGCAAAATTCATCATCAAGATCCCATGTTCCCTGCACATGTCTGCTAAAGTTAGCGTGCCAGAGACATTGGTACGGATCGTTTCTGTCTTGTGAGATTCGCAACAATCAACATTGGGTCTGCTAGTGACATCGTCAGCATTGAAAACATGGGTGGGCTTAACATTCTGGATATCAGCTAGAATCTGTGATCGATCTTCCAAACGACCCTTACCATAATCGTATTGGATTCCTTGTTTCTCACACAACTTCCTAAGTAAACCATCAGTCCATCTTTTCCTACCATGATAAGGAACTTGAAAGATGGTTTATTTACAAAATATTATTATTGTTTCTATTATTTATGACATTTGAATTAAACATATTTTGGAAGGCATGCATCACATAAACCCAAAAAAAGTATAAAAATTCTACAAGACACAAAAACCAAAAGGTAAATAAAATCACGACGTAAGCTTTAAAAGCAACAAAAGACAAAGCCAAAACAGTAAAACATAAAAAAAACCGTGAACATACAACAATGTGCTACTACATCATTTAACCTAGAGAAATCAAAGCTTCCTTTTTTTTCTTTTTACATGCTCCTTTTTCCTTTATTTTTTTAAAGTATATAATATATTTTATATATGGCAAATACAATAAATAAACTCATACACCCTTCTCATCATTGATATCACTAGGCCATAAACCTTTGGTTCTTTTTTCTTTGTAGTCACATTTATTCTGTAATTCTCTAGCGATAGGATTGGAGGATTGGTTGACAGGCTTTCTTCGCATTCTTGGTACATGTATTGATGAATGTTTTCCATCATTATTGGTTTCCTGGGCAGCAATTGAGGTCTTCTCCTCATCGACTCCATGCTTTGAATTATTTCGTCCACCAGGCCTTGTGGAGGATGCCTCGAGGAAGAAGGGATGTCCGCATGCACCACAAGATGTTGGGTTGAGGGTTGTGTCTCGGCTTGGGGTTGTGTATGGGTAGAAGGTGAGTTTTCTTTGGTTGGT